TTGAATGTAATTATAGTTTTAGAATCTGATGATACATAAGTCAGTTGTATGAATAAAGTATACGAATAAATTTTGACAAGTGATCGATAACGAACGGTACATTAATTTCAAATTAATATATATTAAAGTGCATTTCTCATTATAATCTGGATGTATTCGTTTATTTTATATTATTTTATATTTTGTTATGCCTATTATTATTCGTTACGTTATATGTACTATTAATATATTCTTTTCAACCTGTACTTTTCTCCTGTAACGCATAATGTTAAATAAATGCATTCATTGTATAATGAAATTATATTTTTTCAGGCTATTTGTTAAAATTGAAGAAAAAAATAACGAAACGAAATATGAAGATTATTAAAAAAAATATATATATTTTATCATAACGTATATTTTCTAATGTTATTATTATAACATTATCAGTATTTTTTAAGGTTAGTTTACACAGCAGAATTGTTATACTTGTTTGATTAATTTCACTTTTATAATTGTTTCTCTATATTTAAATTATTCAATTAATTTTTATATCTTTACATTTTTTATTTATTTATTTATTTATATATTTTTATGTTTTTTAAATGTTTCACGGCATATTGAATAATAGTATATTATTATTATTGCAACACTAAACCAATACATCGATAGTCATTTTAAACGTTGGAAAAGAAATAAAAATATATGTGACTTTTATTACAAATAAATGTAAATTAAAGAAATCTCTCGAAGCTTCATAAAAATTAAGTCTATGCAAATGAAATTCTCTCTCTCTCTCTCTCTCTCACTCACTCTCTCACTCACTCACTCACTCACTCACTCACTCTCTCTCTCTCTCTTGCGCGCGCGCGCGTTGCGCACGTTGCGCTCAATAAATATAATGTTGAAGAAAAAAAATTATTTTCTTTATCAATCTGTTATTGTAACAAAATACATAGAAATTTTATATATTTAAATAAAATTAGCTGAGCGTGCGAATGATATCTTAAACCAAAATTAATCTACTTATTATGTCATTAAAAATTCTTTATTCAAATATACAACAATTTAAATATTTATATTCTATCGTATATTTTAAAAGATTGGCAATATTACTTATCGAAGATGAGCATAATGAATTACGGCTAATAAAATAAACTGTTAAATCTTATGAAATGTCTTTAGCTTCACACATTCATAATACGACAACCGGATCCGTAGTGTCGCAAGTAAAATTTTTTTATCTTTTAAAATTGTAATCCTCGCTTTTTTCTACATTTTATTCAGCAAGTAGCAATGAATCGCGATACGTGTTTAAATAATCGGCGTTTATTACCCCCACAATACCGATTGATCAATTATTATTTTATTATATAATATATTAGAAGTTTCGAGTATCATATCTTAAATTTGAATTCGCTACGATATTACCATGGCACACGTGTTTACTCAAGCACTCTCGACTGTTATAATACTTTTTATTAGACGAATTATTTATTAATTCGATAAACTGCACCAGATGGGTATAAGAGCGTATTTTGAAATAACATGGAATGTTGATTTTTTAATCATGCGGTCGTCGTAATATTACTAGTTTGGCGTAAAAACAGCCTCCGCTAATAATGGCTGTGCGTTAATTTCTATACCCATAGAGTCCAGCTTTCATCGATTGTTTATAAATTCAATATGTGTATGACCTGCCGTTCGCCCTGCTTCCGAGCAGTTTTAAACATTTTTCAGCCACTCTCGACAAGTATCGGAGATTAAGCACATCGACGAGAGAAATATGAGAGAAACCGCTTTTCCATTATCTATGCAATATATAACAATGATGTAATTGTAAAAATCTACAATATACATTAATGTTTTTCCTTATTCACTCTTAGCACGGTGTCTACGTTCATAAAACAATCAGTACGGGACAGCAGCTAAATAAGTAAAAGTTACCCTCCCACAATATTACAATACCGAGGGTTTGATGGTGGTGGTGGTGGTGGTGGTGGTGGTGGTGGTGGTGGTGGTGGTGGTGGTGGTGGTGGTGGTGGTGGTGGTGGTGGTGGTGGTGGTGGTGGTGGTGGTGGTGGTGGTGGTGGTGGTGGTGGTGGTGGTGGTGGTGGTGGTGGTGGTGGTGGTGGTGGTGGTGGTGGTGGTGGTGGTGGTGGTGGTGGTGGTGATGGTGATGATGGTGATGATGGTGATGATGGTGGTGGTTGGGTAGTGGTGGTTATGCGAGGCTGGAGGGAATTGGGGATATGGAGATCAATAGATAACGAACTCAAAAGTGACTGATGTCGGGACGGGAGATATTTGACGAAGAAAGATCGTAATTTCATTGCCTGTCCTTTCCAAATGCCAGAGGCGAGCAAGCAGGACACAAGTTGCAAACACGAGGGAATTGGGCCACTACGAACGAGTTTATCGAGCCGAGCCCCATACAGCGTAATTAGCATTTCTTACATTTGCGTGTACGTAATCTTGACATGCGAGCACCGTAAATTCTCAAGTATGTTTCTTTGTGGGGTCGGGCGATTTTCGAAGCGCGCGACCCTATTTTAATCTTCCCCTGGCTTTTTTCCTTTTATTATTATTATTATTATTATTATTATTATTATTATTATTATTGTTGTTATTGTTATTATTATTTTTATTGTTATTATTATTATTATTGTTATTGTTATTGTCATTGTTATTGTTATTGTTATTATTATTATTATTATTATTAGTTTAGCGAAGAGTAAGACGTAGCTGGGGGACACCCGAAAGAAGGTCGTTCGTTACGCGTTAGATCATTATACATCCAAGGAATGCACGTGCGTTTTTGCTGTCGCGTAGGTGGACGAAAGTCTCGGTTAAATCGACATTTAAGATCAATTTAACGCTAGTAGATTAAGTATTATATGCTTAAGTGCAGGATTCTCTTTTACCGAGGCATAAGTTGTCGTCGAGACTGCTTAACTCAATTCTATGAATATCTCGATGACTCTTCAATATATAAAAGCATCGATTGCTAATAATTGCCAATATTAGCCAATTTCGGTTCAAATGTCTTTCGACTCTTTTAGTCTTAGCACAAACATTCGCGCGTGTCAAGGTGGAGAGTTCATCGATTGATCCACGTATTTCAACATCTCACCCTTCAATTTAGTCACATTAAAGCGATTGACAGCGATGCGATAATACAATGATAATATTGCGGTAGTAATTATTGGAATCGCAGAAAATGTAGATAGATTTTTCGAATACGCACGAGATTGGACGAAAAAACGCCATTATTTCCTCATTTTAATATACATTCGCTGTCATTTAGCTTTACGAACATTCCTAATCACCAGCGACTCGTGCACACACTGATCGAGAAAGCTTTAAAAACTCGGTCGTTTTTAAATGAAAAAGAAAAAAAATTAGCCTGTTTACTGCGCATATATATATATATATATATATATATATATATATATATATATATATATATATATTACAGAAATAGATCATCGCTCAAGAAATAGTTCATCGTTCAAATTTAATGGTTTAATTTAAAAGTAATTCGGATAATGGAATATTACGACTCCCGAGATTATCTATCCATTGGTTTCTTATCTCTCTTTTCACTATCATTGTTTACGGATGGTTCCAATGACCAATACCACTTCAAACAACACATGCAAATGATACCAAACGCTAACTCGAACGCGACAATACATTAAAATGCTTTGAAATTAAAAATGGGAACATTTAGATTATCAGGAGAACGATGTACTTATCAACGTTAGGAAGCTCCATAAATACTGAAAATGCACACCTCTGAAGGAAAAGCGTCCACTCGACGTGGCTATCCTGCGACATGCGGGCTCTTTGTTTATTGTTTATTTTTCTTTCATTCTTTCTTTTTCTTTCTTTTTTCTTTTTTTTCTCTCTTTTTCTTTCTTTTTCTTTCTTTTTTTGCAGATATTAATAGTGGCAGGTGTCGGTGGGTAGTAGTACGTCGTGTACGAGTTTTGCACGGCCGATGTCCATGTTCCGTTACATCGATCGAGCTGACGTACTCGCCGCCACTGCTGATAAGTATCCTGTGTTCCACAGCAAAATTCGGAGTACTCTAGCCCCTTGCCGTGGACTTCATTCGCACCTTCCCGCAGCAGCTGTCAATAGTCAACTGCGGGACAACCGAATAACATTCACTCCATGCTTTCGCTCGTCGTCATGACGACTACTTTGGCAAACCATACCAAACGCTTGACTCTCTCTCTCTCTCTCTCTCTCTCTCTCTCTCTCTCTCTCTCTCTCTCTCTCTCCCACTATTTTATATTATCACCAGTTAAGCTCGTCGAAGCTTTAACGATAGCCGATGTTTATTCCAAGAGGGTCTGTGCAATAACGACTTCCACGAGCTTCCGGCAATCGGTTTTGTCTCTCGACATTATATGTATGAAACACGTATTATCGTCCTTACAAAGCTCGAACTTGCTTATCCACTTGGTATCGACGCACTCGTTGGCGCGTGCTTGCCACAACGAAATTCCTGCCGAGCAATGCCAGTTTCCCAGCATAATAATAGTACGACAATTACCAAAAGCTCGCAGCCCCCTCCGCCCACCCAGTCGTTTATTAATTATCGATGGAACGCCACTTAGCCTCAAGCATTTCAATCGCCTTTGGCGAACTCGCGCGTCGAACGAATCGTCATTCTTCATGCATCGTTTATCATCCCTGGCCGTAACAATTAACAACGGATATACAACATCTCTCCGCTTTATTTATCCGCGTGCTCCAACAACATCCGCTAAAATCCCGTCGATAACACGGATTGACGACGACTCGGTTGCGCTCACGTTTCGTCACAATAATTTCACGGCTAATTTAAAGCTCCTCTTGACGATTACGCGGCTCATATTCAACGTCCCACACGTCCAATGCGCTCGTTAATACGAGGCGACTTAACGACGTTGACGATTCGTTTACAACGAGTGCCGAAAACGGATTTGTGACAGGGTAATTACGACCCAGTACCTGACGCTCGTCAACCAAGTGGTCGCACCTGTCAGAATCGCCCAATTGTCGTATGACAGTTGTTACGGCTTAAAATTATTGTTGTTATTTTCTGTTCTTCGACGACATGGTTTTTAAATTCTCGATTGTTTAAGGCGAGGGTGATATTGGGAAACGATGGCGCCAGAAACAATTAGGAAAAGGAGGAACGATGTGCATAAAGAGCAGGAAGCCGTGGATGAGAAGAAAGTTGAGAGCGAGGATGCGAAAGTTGTGAAACCGTGAGTTTCGTTGCACTTAAAATACTCTTGGTCGGATATTACGGTTGAATTATTTTATTACGTAACGCTTTATTACGAATATGTGTTTGGATGATTATTATTGATAAACAATGAAAGTCGGGATTGCGTAGTTTCAATAAGCACCGTACACGGTTAAGGCGAGAAAATGGCACGAAAATTGACAAAATCATTGCAAGACTTTTAATTGCGAAGCTAATGTGTGAGGAGGCCGGTTGCTATATTGATTTTTCAATTATGTGCTATGAATTGCAAATATACTAATTAATTATATCTTTGATTTATGTAGAAAATATGGACCGTACGTCACATTCCCTTACCAGAGAGTTTGGTCACGCTGTATTTTAATTTTAGGAGTAATGCTCATTGTCTGGTATAATAGCAAAAATAGTAAAGAGGTTGTACTGGCCCGTCAGAAAGACATTTTAGTAAGTAGAGCATTGAATGTCGAGTGTTCGGACGATTACAAGTCAGAATTGGATAAGTTCTCGGGCTGTCTTCCTGAGAAATGTGGAAGAGTGGTTACGGATAAATTGGTCTCTGCATCCGAGGCTGATATGCTATTGCGCTTCGCTAAAAGTGGTCTGAAACTTGGCGAGGTAGATGGTGGAGTAAAGATATTGGATTTGCAAAGCGGTGCCTTGAGCAAAGGTGACAAATTTATCAATGTTTATTCGCTCAAGGAAGCCCAGAAGCTTTTTAACAGTGCAGATTTTGCTATTTACAAGTACGTGCTTGGATAATAATAACACCCTTACATCTTAGCAAAATGTAATCGTCATCTTATTTCAGAGTTGTCAAAACTAAAATACAGCATGCGATAGCTCACCATTTTGGAGTAAACGCAAATAAAATTTATTTGACAAAACCAACGTTCTTTTCTCAAATTACCAATATACCCGCTAAAACGATACATGACGAATACTGGCAACCACACGTTGATAAAGTGAGTCTCGAGAATTTTTGTAAATAATATTCGACCAGCCTTGTTACGTGTTTACATATTACTTTATAATATGTTTAATATTTGTTCTTAGGAAACGTACAAATCATTCCATTACACGTCTTTGCTGTACCTAAGTGATTACGGTAGAGATTTTGAAGGAGGTAGATTTATTTATATCGATAAGAATGGCGTAAACACTACTGTAGAGCCTCGTAAAGGCAGAATTTCTATGTTTACGTCGGGTAGTGAAAATTTGCACGCGGTGGAGAAAGTTACCCTAGGGACACGTTATGCATTGACCGTGTCTTTCACGTGTGATAAGGATTACGCTACGTCGGATCCAAATTTTGATAAGATCAAGGATATATAAAAATGCGCAATGAATTACCAATAATAGTATTGAAAACTTTAAGACTGGGAAATCCTTTGTGTCTCAGTAATCTAAACATTCGCAACGCAAAGTCGTCATCTCATAATGGCAATGATTTTATTTTATAATCACAACGTATAAATACATTATTGATTTTAAGAGCTGACCAATCTTTCAAAATATGAACATTGCGTCTATTATAATTAATTTATTTTTTTACAATTCTATATATTATAATGATGTAGGCAAATTAGCGCATCAATGTCCATACAAGCAACAGTGTGTCAACATTATTAATAAGTACAAGTTGAAATTGATATTGATTTGAATTATTTGAGAACACCTCGTTAAACGAATCATTTCAACATTTGTGTCTAATATGTTGTTCGATACTCTTAGTCAATACGATAATATAAAGTAGAGTATCGAGCAAGAATTATTGTATCTATATATATGTATATATATGTATAGCGAACGATGCTAAGATTTAAAGTTTTCTGTAGTATATTCCAGGCAAATGCAACATAATTTTATTGTTACCCAGTACTTAAACGAATAAAAGAAGCAGTTTTTATTTATTACACAAACAATTTGTTTTTTACTTCGTTTATTTATTACATCTACAATAAACAATGCCAACATTGTTTGAGTATACATCTTATAGTAAATGCACAGTAATAATATCCAATGTATTTTTTAGATTAACAAGAACGCTTTAAAATTTATGAACACCCAAATATTTCCTTGTACAATGTGCATGTAATATTTTCCAATAACATTTTATAATCGATTCTCGAAAAACATTTGTCTAGAAAATATTTGTACTAAACAATTTATTTCAAATATTTCACAACATTCAAGTACAGATTGGATGTTGAAAAGAAAAAAGAAAAAAATTAAGAAAAAAACTACATAATCATTTACTTTGCATTTCACTGAACAGTCATGTACCTCTGTGAGTTGCTTTTTTTTCTTTTCTTTTTTTTTAAACTTTCATAAAACAGTTTGTACTCACAACGATAAAGTAACAAAATAGCAATAAATATATATTTATAATAAATACAATATCCGCTTTATACAAGTTAACGATAATCGCCTGTCCACTAACGACTATCGAAAAATTCTATAAAAGCTTTCTTTAAGAATTAAATCAATAAAGAGTCGGATTTATTTGAGCTGAAAATGAGTAATAGAAATATGTTCAAATATCTTTCCTCTCCAAGGGGGAAAGCGCTTTTTAATCGTTAAATTAAAAAATTAAAAACAAACTGACCTTTTTTTTTTGTTTTTTATTTTTGTTCTTTTTCTTTTTGATTTTATATAAATTAATATTCTCATCAAACGTAGAATCATATCAAATTAGAAGTAAAACTTTTACACTCTACAGTCTTATATACAGCAATAATTAATGAATTAACATGATTATAATGATGAGAGTGAGAGAGAGAGAGAGAGAGAGAGAGAGAGCGAGCGCGAATTTGTAACATATGAAAATGAATGTGACAGAATGTAAAGAGATTTCGCAAAAGACGTTTGTACAAAAGAAATGTTTGTCTCAATATTCATTTATTATCGATAATAATATAGGCATTTTTGAAATCTCTCTTACATTTACAAATGAGTGTTAGGTAAATTCTTATAAGCAAAAATAGGCTTTTGAATAGGTACTTTGAAAATTTTCAATGCCTACGACAAATTTCATCTTCAATTGGTTTTCACACAATAGCGTATTTAGATGTCACATTCAAAGAGTTTATGGAATGAAACGCTCATTGGCATCTCCAATTCACCGAGATGTTTTGAATCTCGTATTTTCTTACAATTCTCTGGAGCACTCGGATAGAACGGATTATAGATACGATTATAAATGTTATCCAATCCGCTACAACGCAGGCCAATGCACGAGATCTGCGAGGTAATGATTAGAAAGTGGTTTCGGATAGAGACATAATGACTCGAGCTCCGTATTACCAGAACTACATTTCACAATAGCATAATTCATTGCATTTCAATTTTTTCTCCGCCTACGCTCTATCCATCGACGTCTCGTGTGTGCCACTCCTTAACAAACAAATCATATGCAAAGTGCAAAGCTATGGCCTTCCGGCTAAAGGAAACAAGATCGTGCGCTAGCTTTATATTTATTAACTCCAGTTTGGATAGGTCATAATTAACTAACGAGAGTAAGAAGGAAATATTTCACCATAGTGATTCGGTCAAAGACATAAAAAAGAAAGTAATTAGTATTTGGTATCATTGTAAATATGACCGAGCCATGGAAGAAGTGTCAATATTTTGATTGTCTTTCAAACAATCTATATAGAGGAGAGAGGGGGGGGGGAGATAGATAGATAGATAAATAGATATAAGACAGGCAGATAGAAAGGTTCAGGTATCGTTCAGAGAGACGAGTCTCCGACTTTATACATATATATCTATACATTTAGTCATTGTAGTTGGACAAAATTACATCACCGTTACAATATCTTATTTGTAGAGGCAAATCTGTTTAGGGCGACGAGATTCGAGAATCCCAGGATTCATTCGATCGATCGATCGATCGATTAAAGATGCATTGTCCAAAAGTCCGTGTAAAAGCATGGAAGACAATAATAACAAATGGGCTACCAAAGACACCTTCGAAGGCTGTTGCCTTCGTCACAACGAAGAATAATGTCGCTTACATTAAAAATTACATGCTTGTTCCGAGAAAGGTGGTGGTGGATTTGGCTGAATTCTTAATAAAAGAGTTTCACAACGGCGCGAAGGACTACTTAATCCATTATTTTAATTCAATGCACTCTTGTCCAACTCTCTTTTGAACATCATCAAAGATCACATGGTCCATAACCAGCTATTTTTGTGCACATTCGACAACATTTACTTGGGAAATGTCTTGCTTTTATCGTTTGGCCATTATACTCTCAGCAGTTGGGCGATTTTTTTCACGCTATCCCCAGATAAGATACTCCTATGGTCTCCTACAAGTTCCTCTATTCTGATACTTTGTCTACAGATCTGCAAATACGAATAAAAATCGATTGATTTACCATAGTATGCTAATTCTGGCAGTTAAATTTTTTTTTTTTTTTTAATTATAATTACGACATACACGCCCCACGACAATAATGATCAATTGCTGTTTTATAATCACCTGAGACAATCCGTAGTCAGTGTTTAAGGAAACAAAGCTGTCTTTAGCTTTGAAAAGCGTAATTGGGCCTTGATATTTCCCCGCCGGTTTGTAAAAGACAGCTGCTTTCAATTTTTTGTAAAATAAAATGCCCGCGTCCTTCAAGTCCTTGGGCGTAAATGGCGTGGAGCCAATCATTTGTAGCATTTTATTAAACATTTCTTCGTCCGTGTTAGTTTCTCGAAGTATGTTATACGCCTGCAAACAATAATAACAACACTTTGCTTAACAATGATCTCGCTAAATGTTGTTGATTAACATTTAAGAAGCTTTTTTATACATTACGAGCAGTGCTATATATATATATATATATATATATATATATGTATTTTTTTTTTATTTGCTTTTCCTTTCTCTTATCCTTCTGTATTCTACGGCTTTAATTACATTTCTAATTCACAGTTTAATGCTTAAATGCAATTGCCAATGAGAAATATGAAATAAGAAACTGTGATTCTTTTGGTACGATGTTGGGACGCGCATGCATGTCTCATCCGGCACTACGCCCACCCTTGACAAGGACAGTCCAGTCCCGTCTCGTCCCCCACAACTACATTACGATTCTATTCTACCGTGGCTGAACATTCAGACGTTAAGAAACTGCTCACCTTCAAGAATCCAATGCTCGAATTTAGCTGTCTGGTAAAGTAGGCGAGAGCCTTCCTCGTGCCGTCGTCCTCGAGGCTCTCGGTAATCTGTCCAATCTGCTTGCCGATGGTCTGGCAGTGGAGTGTAATGAACTCCGGAGAGCCGTCGAGCAGCGTGATGCTCACGTCTTCGCCGAGGTGCTCGAGCTGAAGCGCCATCTCGAAGGCAACCAGCGCCCCGAAGCTGTAGCCGATGAGAGTGTAAGGGCCCCGGGTCTGGACTTCGCGCATCCGTTTCACGTAGAATTCGGCGAGCGAAGCGATCGTGTCCAGCGGCGAGTCCTTGGTACACTGGAGACCCCAGACGGGCCTATCGAGCTCGGCCGCGAGGCCCTTCAGCGAGGCGATCACGCCTTCGATCGCCGAGACCACGAATATCGGCGGGCCCTCGGTACCGCGGCTCTCTAACTGGAGGAGGGACTCCCTGGGTACGATCTCGGTGCCTAAGCATTGGAACAGCAACTCGGCCGGGCCACTTTCCGTGGGTGTCGATGCCGTCGTCGTCGCTGTCATTGTCGTCGTCGTCGTCGTCGTCGCTATCGCCGTGGGCGTCGCAGCTGTTAATCAACAAATAAGATACGAATCGTTCAGAGTACCCGAGAGAGAGAGAGAGAGAGAGAGAGAGAGAGTGAGAGTGAGAGAGAGAGAGTGAGAGTGAGAGAGAGAGATCCGCTTTATCATCTCTCGATCAGTCTAGCCACGAGCTTGGGGAAATGACGAAGCGGACATCGAAGGCAGAAAGTAAGGTTTGAGTGAATTATTAATAATGATCGTCACCTGTGTCGGTCGCGTCGCTACCGTCCGCGGCGAAGGTCGCGAGCTTGCCGAACGTCAGTCCGCGAATCTCTTGCGGACTGAGGACGATGTCGTAGTTCCTCTCGAGGGTTTGCTTGATCTCCGTGCCCATGAGGGAATCCATACCAAGATCGGCGAGGCTGTTGTTTGGATTCACGGTCTTCACGTTCTTGATGCCGAGGATATTGCCGATCGCCTGGAGCAGACCCACCTGGCTCTGAGCCTCGGCGGCCTTCCCCTTGTCAGCGAGAACCATCGAGGCGAGTACCGGATGGGGCTGCTGAAGGAACGTATTCATCGTAGCTAAACAGCTGGACATGCGCTGGGGCAAGGTGCCACCGACTTCCGTCTCGTTATTGCCCATTGTGTCTGTAAATAATCCGCGGTCCTTAGCAATCCTGTACTTTTCCCTTTAGTAGGCGTCAAGTATATTTACCGAGAATGAGGCCGACGTCCCCGATGGCTCCCCATTGAATTGCAATACCTGGCAGACCATTGGCCTGCCTCTGTTCGCAAATCCTTTCCATGGCCGAGTTGGCTAAGCCGTAGTTGGTCTGGCCGGCGTTGCCCCTTCCACAGGACACCGACGAAAACACAACGAAGTAGTCGAGCGCGGGACACAGTTTCCTCGAGGTGACGTCCAAATTTTTCGTTCCATCGATTTTCGGCATAGTCACGGCTTTGAAGTGTTCCACTTCCAGGTTCTCGATAAGTGCGTCCTTTAACACCGCGGCTAAGTTGAAGATCCCTCCCACGGGTGCTAAGCGAGAGAAAAACAAGTGGAGCGTTAAAGCGCCGATCGATGTCTCGTCGCTCGTGTGGACGCGTATGCCCGAGCGACTATGGGCTGGGTATGGGCGAGTATGGGCAAACTCGTAGCCTACCTAATTTGTTGGCCGCGTTCATGAGATTCTCCGCTCCGGCGAGGCTCGTGGCGTCGTCGGTCGATACGCTAACGGCAATGCCGATTTCGCGCCACCTGCGAATGCAGAGCGCCTGGTATCCGGTGCGAACGCCCGAGCGCGAGGTTAGCACCAGGTACTTGGCGCCGCGGGTGACGAGCCAGTTGGCGAGTTCGAGGCCGAAGCCACCGAGGCCACCGACGAGGACGTAGGACTTGTCCGGGCTCATGTAGACACGTGGAATCGAGGCGACCGTCTTGGGGCTCGGCTCGCTGATCCTCTCGGGCTCCTCGTCGCGGATCTTCAGCAACACCTTGCCGATGTGCTTGCCCGTGGCCATGAATCTGAAACCTAAAATTAACGACTTCTTTATTAATCTTTCGGTAATTTATACATTGATTTGTCCGCTGTAAATTGCCACATTGGCAAACGGAATAATTAGATAAGGGCTGACCTTGCTCGATTTGCTTTTCGCTGAAGACGGTGGCCGGCAGAGGCTTCACCGCACCGTTCCTAATGCCCTCGTTGACCATCCTCACTATTTCCTTCTTGTCCGGGCAGTCGCTTTCGAAGAGGGCGTCCAGGAGAATGCCGTGGAAGGACGTGTTCTTAAGGAAGAGCGACATGCCGAGGGCCGTGTTATTCGATAGGTCGAATTTGCCGATCTCGAGGAAGCGACCGCCGTTCGCCAGGCACCTGACGCTCGCCTGCAGCTTCTCGCCAGCCAAGGAGTTGAGAATAACATCGACGCCACGTCCGTTGGTCTCGGTCAGCACGAGCTGCTCGAAACTCGTGTCTCGGGAATTGCCAATATTGCGATCGCTCAACTACGCAAACGGCGAACATTTTACGAACGATAATCGCAATATCTAGTGCACATTACACATTAAACATAATTACGCAATTCAATCGCAAATTTTAAATGTAAGGTTGGCAGGATGGTAATATATTGATGATTTTAATATCTCGAGTGTCTTAGCTCACGTGCGTTTGCAACATACTAACAGAAGCAATATAAAAAAATAAGAACAAAAAAAAAAAAAAAAAAAAAAAAAAAAAAAAAACGAATTTGTTCTGGATACCTGGGGGAAGGACTTGAGAAGAAAGTCTCTCTTCTCCTGCGAACCCACGGTCGTGAAAACCTTGCATCCCATGTGCAGGGCGATAGCGATACTGGCCTGACCCACGCCACCGCTACCCGCGTGCACGAGGATGCTCTCCCCGGTCTTCAAACCACCCCTGACGCACAGGGCGTAATAGCTCGTCGAATATACGACGGGGATGGTAGCGGCCTCCTCGAGGCTCCATTTGTCCGGCACCTGCCACAAGAAGCCTGGATCGGCGAGAACCGTCGTAGCGAGGCCTCGGGCTACCACCATACCCATCACCCGTTCACCTTTAGCGTTGCGACCAGCGAACTCGAGTCCGAGGATGCAGTCCTGACTGGCCAGGTCACCCGGCAGTGCGTCTGCGTTAAGCTTGCCCGTCGCCAACATGATATCTCTGTAACGAGCGAGCATTCACATTAGATACGCTCGCCCCGTCTCTATACCCCATGACCTTGTACAATGCTAAAAGTATAATGAGATAAATAAGGAACACAGTCGCGAGCCTCCTGCAGAATGATTTCAACAATGTCCGGACTCGTTAATTCTTAGAAGCGAAAGTACAGGACGATTGAAGATTGAAGAGCCCCCGGACCTACCTGAAGTTGAGTGGAGCATAGTAAACGCTGCAGAGCTCCTTGCCAGGAAACTTTTCCGGCTGATAATAGCCGAGCGGGCCCTCGATCCACCTGAGACTGCTGAGGTCACCCCTCACGAGGGTATTGATGTACGCATGCTCGACGTGCAGCGAGGAGACGTCGGTCTGCTGCTCGAGCCGCAGATGTCGGTAAGATCCCCACTGGCCGCCTTTCAGCACATTCGCCATCAGCTGGTTGGCCAACTGCTCCGAATAAAACTTATCGGAGAGCGAGAACTTGGGCGCATTTTTGTCCTGGATGAAGACGTAGCGGACGTTCTGACCGCCGGCCTCTTGACGTACGCACGTCATAAAGCCCACCAAACCTACGATTTCAAAATCATCCTTATGGCATATGTTCTAGTGCGATTTAAACATCAATCGCCATTTCAAATAAGCAAGATATGCTCGCGGATCGCCAAATGCGATTATTAAACGTCAAGTGGCCCAGGCCGATGCATTATAACAAACGATTATTATTATTATTGTTGTTATTATTATTATTGTTGTTGTTATTATTATTATTATTGTTATTGTTATTATTATCATCGTCATCATAACAGAGGATGGCAATGTTCCGCCAAATTTGTTGATCGATAATAGCGACGTTACCTAGCGACTCCTCGCCTTGGCTAACGAGCAGCACCCGCTGGCCCTCGAGCTCGGACTTCTTAAGCGCCGCCTTGACGCCCTCGAGCCAATTAAAGTTCTTCTCCGTAATTTGCAGAATGATCGGCTCGCCCGACTCCTCGAGCTTTTTAAGGAGCGCGTAAGTCCTGCCGTGAACAACCTGCTTGGCGGCCAATATCAGCCCAGACTTGGTCGGGGCGTTCGAGCAGATGGCCCCGGTCTCCTCGAGGACGACATAACCACCGACGCGCAGCGAATCGGCGATGTTTTTTAATACTGCCAGCTGATTGTTGCTCAGCACGTCCGCGGCGACAACGAGGTGCAGATCTTGGCCAACGGGCCCGGACTGGGCGTCCTTGGCTAGGGCCTTGAGCTTCCATCGTTCCATTAGAGAGGCGTGACTGTCCGGCGAACTGCTCACCAGCTGGAGCTCGACCTGCAATTGTCGATCCAGGAATTATTACAGGCGACTGCGCGGACTTGGCACGCCCGTCAATTCATTGGATTTCCGGTCGGAATTCCATTCGTGGACGACGACATCCATGGTTATTGCCAATAGCACTATGCAACTGTCTTCCAAAACTACCTGTCCACTTGACGTGGCCGTGACTTTGAATGTCAATGGGGGGGGGGGGGGGGGGGGGGGGCGTAGAGAGGCGAGAGCACGAGGAGAGCGAGGATAAAAGAGATGCTAATAAAGTTAATAAAACTCACACTGAGCATTGGCTCGCTGCACAAGACGTCCAAGATGATCGGTGCCATGAGAGCTTCGGAGCTCCTCTCGCCCGTCACCTCGACAGCCTTGAACTTGATGCCTCCGAGATTCTCACGAACGATTTGAAGTAGGACGGTTAGTGCGTGCAGCTTCGATCTTGCGGGATCCTCTACAAGCACTTGCGAATTCTTGTACGGCACAAAGACGTATCTTTCGTGCTTTGGTGCCGCCTGAGTCTGCTGCCTCCTCGGAGCCAACGATGCCTTCATCCCCCTAATTTCAATACCGCCGGACTTGATGACTCCAATTTTCGGGTAAGAATAAACCTGAAAGAGCGCAACGAATTATGGATAAAATAAACCTCTTCAAAGATGAATAAGACTAATTGAACTTAAAGTATATAACTAGAATTAAAGAGGTTAGAAAACATAAACAAAAAAACAAAAAAACAATAAAAAAAACAATAAAAAATGGATAACAAACGCACCGGCAATCCCTCATTGGCTTCGACTTTCTCAATGGCTTGTTTGTGGGCCAGAGGATCGATGATGGCCTGCTGCAGCCTCGTGGGTAGAAAAAGATCGCGCGAATCCTTGCCAAGGATGGAAAACTGAAGCATCATGTCCATGAACGATATCCAGTCCTCTGACCAGTTGAGCCTACCGACGGAGCCGCGGTTGTCGGCGCTGAGGATACCTTGGAAGTAGCCACTGTAATCGTAGCCGCGCAATCGCAAGTCTTTGTACACATCCTCGGTCTTTAATTCGAGGAGCTCCGGCTCCTTCGATCCAGATGGCATCGGTAGCTTCAATTGCTCCTTCTCCACGTTCTCGGGACGACGAATTTTACCTGTCACTGCGACCGAGCCACCTACGAAATGGTATTTTATTTTTTTTCGTTCATTACACAGTATAATATTACGTGACGTAGTGTCGCTTCTTATAAGCAAAAATACGACGAAAAATACTTATAAGCAAATATATATATATAATAATTATTATAAAAGTTTCAATAGGAATATGAGCATCTTTAACGAATACAACCAATTACAAAATTGAATTTTTTTTTTTTTTTTTTTTTTTTTTTTTTTTTTTATATAATTAAACGAAAAAATAAATAAATAAATGCTCGTCGAATCCTTTAGACAAACGAAATAAAATGAGGATAAAAAAATATGATGGCAAAAGGGCAAAATAATGTAGCGAATGGAGTCGTAGTCGTAGAGTGCAACTTACCCTCGCAGATCTCGAAATCTCCCGTGCCGTCGAACACGTTGATAAGGAATTTAACTGACCCCTCTTTCGGCATAATCGTGGCCCGATGGAACTGCACCTCTTCCAGTACGACGGGCGTTTTCTCATACTCCGTGCCCATTAATTTGGCAAAGGTTTTCCAGACGATGGTCAAGTAGCCCGTGGCCGGGAAGAGGATCCTGCCGTCGATCGTGTGTCCAGCCAAGTAGGCGTCGCTCTCTTTCGACAAGTCGATCTCCACGACGCTTTCCCCGGATTTCGAGCTCTTGCCCGAGAAATCGGCTACGTCCCACTGGATCGAGTGATCCCACTTGATCATTGAATTGATCATTGGCGTACTATGTCCCACGGGATAGCTGATTTATTCGTTTAAAAATAGAAAATAATTGAAAGGTTATTTACGGGTATTGACGCGGGCCTATTACTGGCATTCTTCGTCTCTTTTTCTCTTTCTCTCCTTCTCTTAAATTATCAAATACAGTTACTCTTACGGAGACGATAGACAGTCAAAGCCCGTGATTTTATCACGACATTTTATAAGCGTATAAATTTCATAATTCATCAGAACATTAATTTTTGGCACTAAATAAGGATTTGTCGTCGTTTTATCGTACACGATATTACGCACTGAATTATTGTCGATTGAATATTAAAAAATGTTATTCGAAGCCTCGAATGATTATAAAGTAGCAAATAAATCCACATTGTTATACCTGATGGGCGGATAAAATTTGGCCAACTGAGGCTGGACTCCAGCATTGTAAAGCTTGCCGATGTTGGCCAACAAGAAGGTCATATTGTTCGTGTGATCCTTTTTGTGCAGGCCGACCTTAGTGACGGTAGCCGGCAACGATCTCCTGAGAATCGCCTGGAGGAGGCAGTGCGGCGCAATTTCAACGACAATAGCATTATCGGGCACGTGCCTCAATGCCTCCTGGAACAGGACTGGCGATAGGAGATTGTTTACGTGATAAGCGGGTGAACTGAGCTGAGCCAAGGGCGTACCCCAGGCCAATTCCGGGATCGATGTCGATATCCACCTAGTCAAACATATATGCACGACAGTTACGAATTGTGCGTGACGAATCGTGTAAGGATATCTTTCATCGTATACGACACTCACATGTCCCCAAAACCAAATAACTTTCTAATTAAGAATTTTAATTGGATAAATAGTGCTTGGAAGAATAAGACTCTCAAACGCTTCAATTATTGTTCAATCACGCGATTAGTCGCTGCTTATCTTGTATGTATTGTTGTATTTACAATCAAAGCACCGAGTACGATAAAAATCATAAGATTGGGGACGTTTGTTAATAGAGGAAAAGTCTAGCGACCTGGAGCTCCTCTGTTTCGGGTTGATAATGATGTTTTCGAGGCTGGCGCGGAGCTTCGGTCCGGCCGAGGCGATGTATTTGCTGTGGAAGGCGACACCCGAGCTGTGAACGGCCTTGGCGAAGATCCCCTCGGCTTTCAGTTCGGCGATGAATGTGTCGAGGGATGGACGGGGCCCGGATATCGTGACCGAGTCGGTGGAATTGTGACAGGCCGGGAAGACGTCCGGTGGGCATCGTTTTTTCGCCTCTGCCCAGCTGAGGCCAACCGCCGCCATACCTACAAATAAAAATCAGGCTTCGCATAAATTTCCTCCTAGCCAATGTTTTATATATTACGCTCGCCTCCTCTCAATGGAGTTTCATTATATAAAGTAAACGCGTCTCTTTGTGGTCGTGCTAATTGAGATTTTACCTTTTTTCCTGAACGTCGCGAAGAAGTGTCTTTCTTTCGTTATTTTTACTTTTTTTTTTTTGTTTCTTTTTTTTTTTTTTTACTTTTTCTTAAGACGCGATTTATACAGTTTGTAGGAATTAGCATGAACGGAGATTGCCTTATTATTTATTCATTCAATCGCCCGTGCAATTGTACAGATTTTTAAAGTCAAAAATTTTATAGAAGTATTTAAATAAATTCCAAAGCGTTGATAGTCATAAGTGTTTTACTTTATATATTTCATTATTTTTTTTGTTTGTTTTTTTGTTTTTTTGTTTTGTTTTGTTTTTTGTTTTTGTTTTACCTTTTACACGTACTAACAGTTTTAACACACCAGTGGTAATAAATTTTTATTTGTAATACACGGGTAAGATCGTTTTATCTCTATTTTATTTACGTCATTTTAATGCGCTATTATTTGCAAAGCTCAAGGTGACTTTCTTCGATTGAAATTTGACGAAGGCTTGAGACGATGCAATGGAACTACCAATGGTAATTCCATAGGCCCTGACATTATTGTCGATGGATAATTTATCAATGCAGTCGCGAGTCAGACTCACCCATATTATCGGGCAGCTGTGACTCCTTGATGGATTTGCCTCTCCAGTAAGCGGCCAATACGGCCTGTTCGGCGGTGAAAGTGCCGTCGGCGTAGGCACAGCCGACCTCGCCAACGGAGTGGCCGATGATACCATCGGGATGTACGCCGAGCATCGTGAGCATGTCGACGAGAGCCACCTGAATGGCCGCGATTGTCACGAAACTGTTGAGCACATCGCCGAAAGTCTCGTCGTTGCCGTTGAGTATGAGGCTCATGAGATCGACGCCGCAGGGCTTCAACGCCCCGGCGCATCGGCGCATACTCTCGGCGAAGGTCGGTATAACAAGGAGCTCCTTACCCATGCCCGGCCATTGCGAGCCCATGCCGGAGAAGATGTACCATACGGGCCGTTGCTCGCCCGTGTTGTGATGCGCGATCTCGCGCTCCTCCGTCTCGCTCAGGATGTGGTAGCCGCGGTATGGGTGGCCGGGAATGTTGAGCGCGTGAATGCTGTGTAGTAGCGAGATGAACTCGTCGTCTTTCTCATGGCGCTTCACCTAAAATTTCGTTTCGCGTCGATGTTCAAGGATGATTTAACGAGTAACCGAGGTTCAAGGAGTATGAACAACAGGACGGATCGGGAACATCGATGATTGGGATGTTGTCTCTTGTTTGCGCGCCAATTTCATTGCTCAATGAGTGATTTAAGGAAAAGTATAGGCCAAGCCTAACGAAACGGAATAGTCACCTCGTCGAGTAGAGACGCGACGGCCTCCTCGGTTCTGCCCGACACTGCGACAATTTTTGGCACACCGACGTCCAGCATTGGCGAGACCTTGGGCTTGGGATTGCTGCGTAGTACGACATGGGCATTGGCTCCGCCAAAGCCGAAGGAATTCACGGCAACGAGGCCCCCTTTCCACGGCGTCGGCTCGTCGACTACCTTGATTTTGCCGTCCGACAGGGCGGGAATGTCGGCGTTCGGCTGCTTAAAGTGTAGATTCGCGGGTATGACGCCCTGCTCCATGGCGATGAGGACCTTGGCGATCGAGCAGAGTCCACTGGCCGGCTCCGAGTGGCCCATATTCGATTTGACGGACCCGAGCAGCAGGGGACCCGTTCTCCTGTCCTTGCAGAATAGCTCGGCTATTGAATTGACCTCCTGGGGATCGCCCACCTTCGTCCCCGTGCCGTGGGCCTCGACGTAAGTCACGTCCGCGGGATTGATGCCCACCTCGGCGTAAACCTCGCGCATCAGTCTGTTTTGCATGCCGCCGTTCGGATAGGTGATGCCCTGGCTCTTGTGCCCGTCCGTGTTTACCCGGGAGTTGACGACGGTCGCGTAGACGCGTCGGGCGTCTCGCGTCCGCTGGAGATAAACGACTACCGCAGCCTCGGAGCGCACGTATCCGTCTCCGGAGCTGTCGAAGGCCTTGCAAGCGCCCCCGGGCGATAACATGCTCAGCCTGTGGAACTGGAGGGAGCTCGTCGGCTTCAGGAGGAGGTTCACGCCACCGACGATCGCAGCGTCGCACTGGCCGCTGCGTATCGACGTTATCGCCTGATGCATAGCGTACAGGGACGAGGAACACGCCGTGTCCACGGCAAAGCTCGGGCCCGTCAGGTCGAACGTGTAGGAGATGCGGTTAGGAAACATCGCCCGGCAGCAGCCGGTTAGCCCATAACCTGTAACGAGTCCTCGCGTTTACTTTTCCATCTCTATATAATCCAAAGCTTTGGTGATTTATCTTTTATAATAATAATAATAATAATAATAATAATAATAATTATTATTATTATTATTATTATTTTTTTTTTTAAGAAGGCTCGCTCCCGTTTATGATGACAACTTATATGAAAAAAATGGTACGGCAATGTATGGAAGATACGGTCGATTGACACTAACGTTAATTTGTCACCAAGTTGTTAATAATTATCCAGAATCCAAGGCGAATGGAGGGAAAGCCAATATTTTTCAATTCAACAACTTATGATTTATCCAAACACTTTTTGATCTTATAGCTCACGGGTCTATTCAACTTATCAAACACAGCTTGGCGCGCTTACTAGCCGTAAAAAAAAAATCGTACGAGTATACGTTTTCAAGATACGTTTCCAATTACACAAATAGGATCATTTTTATTTACAAAAGAATATCGTGACCGCGTTTATGTTTTACGCGAAGAGCCTTTAACGATGAGGCAATACATTCGTCGTTAGGATGGAGTTGGATATTTAGAAATATAAATACAGATAAAGTTACGAGTAATAAATACAGAACAAATTGAAAGTTTTTACTATTAATCTTTAGAATTACCATAAAATAAAATCAATCCCCAAGAGGAAAAATCCTAACTCGATTTTAGGAAATAAAATAACTGGCTATTAAATATTTATTGCATGTAAATATCAATTTGCAATGCATTTAAGGCGAGATAATTGTGATTTTGAGCAAAGACTGTGGTGAGGGGCCTTTCTTTGGAGATGGTAATCAGATAAATTAAATAAACAGATCGTAAAATGTAAATACGAGATATAAAACGAAAGGAATGACGTATCTATTTGTAATTTGCCTAAAATAAATATTAAAAATCGTTGTATTTATCGAAGCTGTCGGGCGAATCCTGTCTAATAGTTAATTTTCTTAGACATTTCTGACAGACGGCGTCGTTCTTAATTACGCATCACAGGATAAAAATTACATTGTGAGAATGTAATGTATGAGGAGTCCTGTATAAGGAGATGAAAACGGAAGATAAATATACGCACACTTATATATATATTTTTTTTTCATACGCGCTCGCGTATAGATTGAGCTATAAAATAGTAAATAATGTAAAAAAAAAAAACTAATTATAAAAACAAGGAAACAAAGTTGATCGATCAAACTTAGTCATTTCCATGAGTCACTAGATATACATTCAAAATTGAATTTTTTCTCTATATTTTTTAAACGTGGAATTTTAATAGATTAAATTCGAAATATAAAGCAGTTAAATTTTATAATTTAATGCTAGAGAGAGCTAGAGAGAGCTGGAGAGAGCACCTATTTATTTATTTCATTTAATTATTTACTATTTATTTACGATGCATCGATCCAGCGTGTAAATGGCAGATAATATTGTTTGCAATCGTATTCTGCGAATTTATTGATTATGTAAGATATGGAAATACGACATAATAACCACACGGTTTTCATATTTATTACACACTAATTGAGGCGATGCTTTTCTACCTTTGCTACTTTCTATCTCGTGTTTAAGTAGGAACACCATAAAACAATGACCGTTATCGCGTTATCCACTCTTGGCTCGATCATTTACATTCTTCATCTCTCTCTCTCTCTCTCTCTCTCTCTCTCTCTCTCTCTCTCTCTCTCTCTCTCTCTCTCTCTCTCTCTCTCTCTCTCTCTCTCTCTCTCTCTCTCTCTCTCTCTCTCTCTCTCTCTCTCTCTCTCTCTCTCTCTCTCTCTCTCTCTCTCTCTCTCTCTCTCTCTCTCTCTCTCTCTCTCTCTCTCTCTCTCTCTCTCTCTCTCTCTCTCTCTCTCTCTCTCTCTCTCTCTCTCTCTCTCTCTCTCTCTCTCTCTCTACACGCACACACACACACACACGCACACGCACGCACGCACGCACGCACGCACGCACGCACGCACAATTTGCGAAATTCAATTTAATCAGTTTAGTATGAACACGACATTACTACGATAGTCAGTTTGTTTGAATATTTTTAAAAGCTCTTCCTAATGCTCCAACGGTCAAAAAACTTACGGACATAATAATAAAATAAACTAGCCCAAGCTCTAGCTTATAGAGAAGTATGAGTTGTTCATTTAGTTTTGCATTGCAAGTGCGGCCATTGCTTTAAAACGATACCATCGACCACGAAAGCCACGATCAAAATGACAACAGAAACTCGAGCTGTAATTGTCGGCTGACGAAACCCATACGTCGTGCGCGCGTGTGTAAAACATTGCGCAACACGCACAATCTTTCATTTCCAAAGCCACACCGCATATTCACTTGTAGCCTCTAACAAAACAAATGCGAAGATTTTCGTTACGAAGACAGAAAAAGCGGGTCGCCGATCGTCCTCCCTCCTCCTCCCTCTTTCTCCTCCCTTCTCGCAAATTCAAATCGCCAAGTTCATTAACATCCATCTCCCGCTTTATTAGCTTAAGCACACAAAACCGTATGAGACAAGTGAACGCGATAATGGCCTCGAGCACCTTCCAATACGGTACAATGGCTTGGCACGTTCAACACGAGCCCCAACGACAATTAACAGCCCAACAATTGGCCCCGACCATCCCCCATTTTCCAATAATCGTGGCTTTTGTCGATACCACGATTAACCACACGGAACTCAACCGATCGTCAATTGGATAAAATGGAGGAAGGGTTAGACGTACCGTTGACCATATCGGGATCAGCCGTCCAGTACTCATCGGATTCGGAGTCCGAGACACCGATGAAGACGCCGGTCTTGGAGCCCCTAATCTCGGCGGGATTGAAGCCAGCGTCGAGGATGGCCTCGTGCGTCAGCTCCAGGAGCATTCGCTGTTGTGGATCCATGACGTTGGCTTGCTTGGCATGGACGCCGAAGAAGGTGGCGTCGAAGGAGGCGAGGTCCTTGATTTTGCCGGTGCGGCTGGGCAACCCGTGGATACCCGAGGGCCAGCGACGCTCGTCGTCCGTCACCAGATCCACGCCTTCGAACAGCTGCTGTTTGAACTCGTCGATGTTCGACGATTCCGGCAGACGACCTGTTTTTCATTAAATACACGTGTATAATAAAATACGGACGAAGTGTTAGACGTGTGGCTACGTATCACTTTTGTGATTTTTTTTTTTTTTTGGATGCTGCATGACGTTAGCGACATGCTTTCGTATCGCTATAATGTTAAAAGATTGTTGTAAACTAGGTACAATGTAGTAGATGTTTTTATTTATTTATTTATTATATATATAACGTAAAGTCTATTCGGATATAAAGAATTTAGACTATAATGTCTATTCGGGCTGTTCGTCACAAGTATTATTTTTCATATGTACTGTGAAATATGAAAAAGACAAAAACTATTGCAAAATATATGATTATTTTATATAAACATTACAACATTAATGCGAATAAAATTTGTATGAATATTATTCGTATGGTATATACTTATTGCCGAGAATTATGATCCTTTTGACTTAAGAGTAATCAAACTTTGATATCAAGTTGCAATTCAATGTATTATATTTATGTTTGGCATATAGCTTGATAAAATAAACATTAACCACGAAAATCCAGTGTGTTGATACACTAGCTTACTTAACTTGTAATTAGTAGTCGTTAAAAAAATTAATTATTAACTCTTATGGACTTTGACTGTTAATGTCCTTTCTGTAAGTAAATGAGAATACAGATAAATGATGAAGGTTTAGAAATATAAAATACTTGTTTCTCAAATAAATAAAAGTCAATTATAAAAGTTTATTCGTTATGTGAGAAATTGTTTACAGAAATAAAATTGTATTGGTAAAATAAATAAATGTAATTTAACATGATAAAGTCCAAAGATGTGTTCATATTAATTCTTTTACGTTTATTGGACAAAAATAAAAGAAATTTAATTTAATAAGATTTATATATATATATATATATATATATATATATATATATACACACACACATATATAGCATATTTTATGTAAATATTACTTGTGTTAGCGATGAAGGTACATAAAGATGTATGATTGATTGTAATCTTATAAAGAAACTTTTTCATTTAATTGTACTTAATGTAGGATTGTTGCATCGATACGATTATTTTAAACGTACATATTTATCTACGGATCGACAGATTATCAAAAAAATTTTAAAATTTCTTCTACGTAACCGCGAGTAATTGAAGGGTTATATTATGACGACAAAGGGTAAATAGATTAGATATTTTTGATATAACAAAAATACTGGTATACTTAACGAGTATAAAGCAAGATAAAGATAGAAGCAGAATGAAAATTTGAATAATTATCCTTCTATATTTAATATATGTGTTTATATATAATCATATAATATAATATATATAGCCGAATGTACAAGCCTTGGATAATTGTAATAATTTAAATCAATATATTATGAATATACGTGAATAGTTAATTATAATTCAGGTAACATAATATTGGGAATGGCGATTAAGTGTCGTTTTTGTTATGTCGTTATTATGCTAATGTGAACGGTTATATGTAAACACGTGTTTAAGCAAACAGCATTACGAGTATTTATGCCTTTATTAAATAAACATTGGGAAAGCACCAACGAAATTATCAAATTAATAATTGATTGTAATAAACATTAACGATAAAATCCATGCTTTATGAAATTTTATGATATCATGACATTAATGAACGCTACAATTTTCCAGTGAAAATTTGTAAAATTTGTAATGCTGCGCACAATGTCATTGCGAGCGAAGAAAAATTAAACATAGCGGCTTACCTGAGAAACCTGATATGACGATGTCATCATCAATGATGTAAGGCGTGCCATTGCTAACGACGTTGTCTCGTACGAGCGGACTATTCATGGTGTCGAATCTGGCGGGCATTTTGCCGGCGAAGTTGATAATTCACAAGTGTTGGTCAATAATCGCAGGTGCGACCCGTCGAGAGCTCTCAGTCGGAGGTGAAAGTTTCGTGGACAATAATAGGCTGGAACCGAAAATGGGAATGGTAATGTATTTAGGGAAAGCAGTTTGGAACTTGTCGGGGGTTCCCCAACATTGCAAGTGCTCTTTCTTTTACAACTCAAGTGTTTAATGTTATCTTCTCTCTCTCTCTCTCTCTCTCTCTCTCTCGTTCTCTTGGATCGTTGTTGCGCTCTCTTTTATCGCTATGAAAAAATTACAATGTTCTTATCACACTATTAATAAAATTCATGTGGAACACTAATACATTATGGGTGATGGAAATGGACAATAAGTGGAAATTGTGTAAATGATTAGAACTTTTATATGAATAAATGTTACAAGTTATGTGTGATATTGGAAAATTCTGCGGGACAATGAAATAAATGAAATTACTTGTTCGCGACAAGTTTAACGAGAATATTGTGAATTTGATAGTAAGGATGGGGGGTGGTGGTGGTGGAGCTGACTCGGGTAGATATTATTTCGTAATTTGCCGTATTTAGTCAAGACAGGGCAGGTAAAACGTGGGAGACTTTATTTTCAAGTTCAGATATTTACGAAATGCCAACTTCCGTATGTCTTAATACGAGCGCGCGCGCGCGTGTTGTACACACGTACAACACTATGTATGCGTCTCTATTCGCAGTAATGTGCGAGTACTTATCGTGGGATAGTGAAACGAGACTTCGAGATGTGGAACAACCGCGTCTCTATTGACGCTATTAATTCTCTCTTTCTTAATAAGATGATAAAGGTTTCGCCGACATTTTTGTCATTGCTGCCACATTGGGCACGTGGCTGGATTTTTCGCAAAATTAGGGATCGAAGCATTTAAAGAAAGTAGTATAAGGGCTTTGATTTTATTCGTTAGTGGTCGATCGATCGTTATACACAAATTACGATCGATCCATCGATTCTCTCATTTCTCTTACCTCATCTTACAAACAATTGTTCTCACTCGCAACGCTAAAGTAATTGCACACTACTTTCAGGATTATTTAAAAAATACGAGCAATAATTCTAGCAATTTAATAATCTCATTAAATTGCTATTTGATCGATCGCCTGATCGCCTTAATTGTACTTCGAGTTAAGAATTTTTTTTTTTTTTTTTTTGTTAAATTTAATCGATTTGGCTCTTGAGATCGTTGCATTCATTAAATGAGCGTCAAAATGATAGCGCTTAAAGTCCTCCTCCCCCTCCCCAGCGTATCACTGGGCGCTTGATGCAACACGACTGACTTTCTCGCGTCAATCTTCGCTTCCACTGCTGCAAAGGTGAAAAGCGCATCCGCCAAGAGGACGACTGAGAAAGACGGGCGCAGTGCTCCGGCTGCGGAATGGAAAAAGTACGTGGAGTGCTGCTCGCGGCCCGCTAATTCGTCCTTAACGTAGCGGTACGATCGAGGCCGCAACAATTGCGCGCAAATTGACAGACAGTGAAGGCGGCCATGCGCTCCTGTTACCCGGTGGCACTTAATTGAGTAATGCCAATTGGATTCACCAATGGGTAAACCAATTTTACAATCGAGATTCGACTCCGCTCCTGCGCGCTTTGCCACTTTCTTCTTTCTTCCTTCCCTGTCTCCTCTTTTTATGCGGGCATTTCACTTTCAAGCGGCAATTTAACACGATGGACGATCGGATGCGCGCGCTAGGCAATATAATAATCCAATTTGGCGAATAATGCCGAGCTCCCTGTGTTTTAATTTCATTGTAAAATGAAACACACATCGATGCTCCGACGCTCTATTTGTTGCGAGAATTGGCGGCATTTCACTCGCTTAATCGGCGCGACCTTCATCATCTCGGGTCTCAGAAAATCTTTATTTTTTCACAATATTTTAGACAATAACATTTTTATATCAATGTACATTGTTTTGCCAGCTACCGATCAATACTAATATATTTATATTATCTGAAATGTATTATCCATTCGTATTTTCCAAATGTTAGTTTCTTATTGTTATGGATATTAAGAAGAAGAAAAAAAAAACAAAAAAGAAAAAACAAAAAAAAAACGAACACTACATTCGTTTATGACGCACGAGCTCATTGCATAACAATTTTAAGTCTAATTATTATATGTTACAACAGAGGCCAATTTTCTTTGAATCATAATATCCGTATTAAAAAAATATTGCCATCAATTCATGTTACGATCTTAATAAATATATTAATTAACTACCATTACAAACGAAGGAAAATTATTTATGATTACAACTACTACATTAAAGTCTTTTGGTATATCTTAAATAAATACAAACGTTTTTCAAAAAAGAAAAAACAAAAACGTAATAAAATTATAATTTGCACAATACGTTACTTTCAAAGATAATTATATTTTCAAAATACAAAACGAATATATGATTAATATATTATGATTAATATATAGTAAACATAAATTTTGTTTACAAATAAAAACTCCTATTTAAGATTATATTATTTTGGATTTTATAATTTATAATTTTGGATTATATTATAAAAATGTATTATTTAGGTAAACTTTATTTAAAATGTATTTGTTTCATTTGTTGAATAAATATTAACGGAAGTACTTTGTAAATGTATATAGTAACTTTTTTTTTTTTTAAATAATACGAATATTAGTTTAGTCAATACGAGAGATCGAATTAAGATTTGCATTGAAATATCAAATAAATTTCCTCTTTCATGCGCACCGATTTAATCATTCAAATTGACTTAAAATCATTTAACATAATAGAGTAAAACGTGTCTTTGACATTCGTATCTTAAGCAAAGATAATTAACGATCATTTCAAATCCATTAATCTAAATATAACCATAGATTGCATTGTAAAAAAAAATCATATAATGTAATAAAAATTAAAACACGTAAATATAAATAAATAAATGAGCCAAATAGGAGTTACAATTTGAATTACAAACGAATATTACCAATGAATCAAAGGATAAAATTAAATTAATTTATATAAAATAATTCATGTATAATTGAGCCTATTTAATTAAAAATTCTAATTTTCGTGTAATTTTATAATATTAAATTTCGAATTCATATATGAATCACTAAAAAAAATCATTAACAGACTTTTATCTAAATATCAAAAATATGACAACGAATTGTTAAATTTAAAAGATCTTTGACATTTTCAAATTCAACCACCAAAAGTGCGGAATCAGCAAATATCTAATATCAATAGTTCAATATTTTGCTTTCATTTTTATAAAACATAAAACGAATGAATTGTAAAAATTAAAAAGTTATAAAATTAGTTTTCTTGTTGTTTTTTTTCTCTTTTACATTAACAGTTACTTAGAATTTCTATCTTATATGCCTATAATATAATAATATAATACATGAAAGTATTTTCATTAGTATTATTTTTATTAAACATTCTTATTTTAATTTTAATTCTTATTATAATTTTTTAGTTGTTAATAGCTTTGTACATGGGTTATGAACGATATAATTTACGTTTATAAAATCTTAAGTTTTTGAAAATTGAAATTACTATTTCTCTCCAAAGTGCAAACAAAATTGTCATTCACGCGAATTGAATAATAATTAAAAATGTTTTGTACAAAGTAAATACACGATATTTTAAAGAAATCAAGTAAAATAAAAGAGCAGCGTATATTAATTGCTTTTGCATAGCTTTTTTCCTCATTCGAGTTAACATAGATAAAGATAATAATTGTACAGTGTTAGTTGTGGAAGGTAAACAAAAAAAATGCTTAACACCTTACATCATCATCACGTATGTGTGTACAAAACAATATATCACCAAGTTCGTAAGATAGTAACATTAGTCAAATAGATACTTCTTAGTGTTACATAAGTATTTGTAAGATCGCCTAGTACATATGCATATGCAAATCAACAAATCAATGTTTGATTAATTCCCCCATTCATTGAGATGTCGGATGTATGTATGAAAATATTCCGTATTTATTAAATCATGATGCCTTTACACAGAACAAATTATCTTTTATACTGAAAATGTAAAATGAGTTTTTCGAGATTAAACGAATTTATTAATAATGAGAAATTTTCGGGAATTTTGGCACATTGGTCTTCCTAAATTTTAATACTACACACATGATATATATATTAAGAATAATTCCAAAAATTAATATAGATCGTCTAATTTATAATTATCTAAATATAGCATTGAATCGTGAATGTATTTAAAAAGTTTTTCAACATAAATATTGATTTTTCAATAAATTTAATACTGAATAATTGGTAAAAAAAAAAAATTCACTTTAATCATTCGTTTCGTTTTTGTGGGTTAACGGCTGAATATTTCTGCATATGATCGATAGATCAAGACTATCGATTAACTTCCTAAAATTCCTTCGTTCATTTTCATATTCGAGCAAGCGCTAATGTACGAATTTAATCAGCTACTTTGTTTTCTAATTATAGTGTGAAATAAAAATAACCAATCATTTAACCGATACTTTCTCCAATATTAACTTGAGAGAGGTTAAGGGGCTTACTCAAACTAGTTTCCATGCATATGTGCGTCTCTGTGCGTGTGTGCGCTCGTGTGTGTGTAAAAACTTAACTAGGCTTGTATTTAAAGATTCCTTTTATTATATATATATATTATCAATGTTAATAATATCATTTCAATAAGTAATAATTATAGTAGAATTAAAATGTCAAACAGCTATGAAATAAAATTATATCATTTTTAAAAAAGGGCTGCAATTGTAGATAATATTTTCAATTTACTTTACTTAAAGCAGGATCAATATTCGCTATAAATTTTATTACAAAATTTTATTATTATCCATTATGTGTTCGAATCCCTCCAATTTAATGTAAAACTAAAATATATATATTAAAATTTTTCTGATTTATTTATTGATTAAATAAATGAAAACATCCGGGTTTGTGTTTAGATTTTATTACAAATGTTATACCAACATCGGAAACTCTCAATAAAATTCCCGTAGAATTTTTGAAAAAAGTCGTTAATATTTTGAACGTAAAATTTAAATGCTTCATATCCTGACCATTTTGTAATATAAA